TTCATCACATTTTTTTGTACAATAAGGACAAAAGATGATGTCTATGGCTTTGATCAATCCCGTTTTCGAGAGCGCTCCCGCACTTCACCTCCACTCAGGATCGTTGCGGCGTTTTGATGCGTATTCGGCCTGTAAATGACTTGCGATGGCAACAGAGGGTCAGTGTCTTCATATTCCTAAGCGATACCTGTTAGACTCGGAGGGATGGAAGATTCGTCGGAGTGGGAGAGCGTCGGGATTCGATCCTCTGCGACCATGATTGTGAAACAGTGCCCTACTTGTCACTAGACCACCTCCACCCTTCCTAACTTCAGCTTTATACTTACCTTGAATATTGATAAGCGTTCTAATGGCCCTGCTAACCACGGGATAAACTCAAGCACAATACCAAATTGACCGACACATTACTCATATTCTAACATCAGCATACATACATGCACAAACGTAAACCTACGCCCTGATCTGTTAGGCATGTGTGTAGAAGGGTTTACTGTTGTGATACAACTGATTACCTTCAGAAACGACAAGCAGTATGCTGTAGGCATTGCAGAAAGCATCCTTTCACTAGCCAGTTCTGTTCCTCAAGGTGAGTGTTTATAGTTAGCCCTCGGATTACGATCACACTTTTCCTTTCAGGAATCCTTGTCTTTTTCGCATCATACAGTCTGATGAACAACCTTATATCAAAGTTCAAACAGCTTCCTTGCAAAATGGGTCTTGCTAAAACGTTTTGGGATTGCATGGTCGAGGAAAAAGTGGTGGTGATCGAACCGAAACAGAAAGTGCGCTATCTTCATTTACTACTTTTTCCGTGTTTTTTCTTTTCTTGAAGTTGTCGTATCTAAACTACCAATTTCTTGCAGAATTTGCTAGGAAAAGTGCGATCCGAGTTCACCCAAGGTGTACGTTCTGGTCGGGGTGCTATGTTTTTTGCGGTGTGTCGAGGAAAGGTGAGTTGGGGTGTTGTTTCTCGGCGTTTTTTTTTTTTTAANAAACCAAAGCAAAGGTATGGTGCATTATCTGTGTTCCTATTTTTCTTGATCGGCTTTCGACACACTTTAAATGGCATTTATCCAGGGACTCACTAAAGTAGCTCTAGACCCAAAAATATCTTGTAATAAACAAGAAACTTCTCGGAAGGGGTTAGCTCTAAGATTAACTTTCATTTAACAGTGCGCAAGTCTGACTTTATCCAAAATACTTCTGCGTTTATTTCTCCTTTCTGCCCTCAGCGCTTCCTGAAGAGATGGTATTTCGAGATATGGTAATGAACTACGAGGCGGGCGGGAATTTGGCGGAGATAACTTCCATGTTTATGTTGTTTACGTTTATGTTTTTATGTGAGTCATATGAGACAAGTAGTCAATCTCGTGATGATCTTTTTTCTCATTTGCAACATAGTTAAAGCGATTCTTCCAGGTTAGTGAAGGTATCGATTTCTCTGATGCTGATTCACGAGCTGTTTGTGTTGTTGGGATACCGTATCCACCGATGATGGATGTGCGGATATGTCTTAAACGGCTTTACATCAACGAAATGGCTGCAGAGGATAAAACGGTAACATTTTTGGATAGGCATTAGCAAAAAGGATCTCTTTACTTTGGAATCCTCACTTGTTCCTTGGATTTCAACTTACTAATACACTCATAAATCGCGCCTGTTAAAAATTTGACGCGCCTTTAAGTTTTTTATCGGATTTTTCAGAGAGTTTGGGATTTTTTTTCAAAGATTTCGAGGCGGAAAAGTTCCCCTAATGATAGCTTTCGTATTTTTCTGATGCAGTTTCTAATTTCTTACATGATTGATACTGAATTTGATTTCTGGTGAATGGTCTTACAGTAATGAATTACTGTAATATTTTTCAGGCACAGTCTGCTGATGAATGGTATGTGACGGAAGGTTATAGAGCCGTGAATCAGGCAGTAGGACGAGTTATCCGGCATGTTAATGATTTTGGCGTGGTAGCGTTACTGGATGAAAGGTAAATGCATGTTGTCTTAGTTGAATCAATCACGGGGAAAAAGCTGTCGCCAAACGGGTCAACTAGACATCGGTGCCACGGCGCTACACTAAGCGAGGTGCGGCGTTTTGGCGGCAATGTTTAGTTGACCGGATTATCTGGCCACTTGGTAACACAGTAGGAGGATGCAGGCCGTAAAATAGATATCCTTTGAAGCGCAAACTTTCTTTTCTGAGCTGGCTGAGGCAGAGCTTGATGGAAAATATACCATGTGTGCTAGAAAGGGAAGAAGAATGAGCGAAGATTCTTTACAAGTTTGAGGGCTTCTTAATAACTCTTCGAAGTAGTTAAGTTCACGACGATTTTGGTTGTCTAGTTAGATGAGCAATCATAGTGATATTCCAGTATAGTGTAAAAGTGGCGGAAAAAACGGGAAAATCGCCGTTTTTAGAGAAATATAAGCTTTAAAAAAGTAAAATTAGGGGTGGACGAGAATGGTTGGACGAATTGTTTGAATGGGGTGTGGTGCAGTAGGAACGAAAATGTCGCGTCGCGACGAGAGAGACAGCGCGCGAAGGAATGTAGGAGAGTGCAGCAGCATCTGAGAAATACAGGAACAAAAGAAGTAATAGTAGAATCATGCCAAAAGTAATGAGCGCATAGCGATTGAACTCTATGAAGAACGCTAGAGATGTAATAACGAGGCAAATGGTCCGCGACAGCTGCATGCGGCGGATCGAGTACACAAAACCGTTCCTATTGCTCATTTCCCGTTTGAATGCGACGCCATTGCATGCAGCTGGCTGCAAAATGCTGCCTGCGTGAAATGTGTGGGTCCCGCTACGAATCAGCTCTACAGCTTTGACAACGCTCAACGAGTCGTCCGCCTTGGGTGTGCACGTCGGCTGAGCCGGTTTTTGGGGCCCTCATTACGTCCTATTTTGACTGTTTTTAGTCTCGACAGCGTCCCTTAGGCCATAGTTGGGGTTGCAGGTTCATCCTAGGGAGAAATCTCAGAAACATTTTTCAATGTAAACTGTGCGTTTATTGGTAAATCAAACAACGCTCATGATCATCACTGGGGTCAACATGAACGAAGCCAACCCTCATCGTGAGCACTGAATTATGTTCGATGTATCAAAGAGGGGGCTCGTTTGGATGTTGTCGTTAATTCGATTACATTTTTTGGAAGGAACGTATTTGTAGTGCTTTAAGGCGGTTCGACGCCCGTCTTTTTTGAATGAGGTCGAGGGAGTTCTAGTGAAGTATCTGCTCGGATTCATCGCCATGGACGATATCTTATGTTTGATAAGGTGTTGAGTTTAGGGCAAAAATCGAAGTCTATTTTTGCTTCAGATTTGCTAATGTCAAGAAGGATTACTTCCCAGCATGGATAAGATCGTCTGTGAAAGTTTTTGATAAAGGATCCGAGTTCATTGCCGCGACACAGAAATTCTTCAGCGATCGGAAGTTGGAAGTGAAAGTGAGCAGTGGTCTTCAATTCTTCCTGTTCTGACAGAATTTTCGTTGAGTTTGAAGTTGCGTTTTCAGAAGTCATCGATTCCCTTAATGCGGCTTGATGGTAAACTAGGAAACCTGAACTCTGGAACTGTTCCAAGGAAGCGGTCCAATATTGTGTTGTCAGCTGAAGTCACGCATGAGTACGTCTCTACCTTCTTATAGGAGTCAAGTATTTTTTTACAAAGTTAATTTCCCTGAAAGGATTCTATGGCTCTACGAGGGTGTCCCTCTTTTCATCGAAAAAAATTGCAGTTTAAGTTGAATTCCAGGCTTGCGAAGTGAAAGGTAGAATCGACCGAAGTTGGTTGAACCTAGCCCACTTTGCTAAAACCATTTTCAAAGGCAAGAAATCATTCAGTGTGTCTGTTTACTCATTCGATTCATCTGAACTTCTCATCTCCCATGCCTCTACTGAGTTGCCCAACAAGTCCCGGCTTTTTTCAAAATAGGTTTCTTCATAAGGATTTAAAAATGTCTGCTGAGAAGAGTGAAAAGTGAAAAGAAGAGTTTCCTGGTCATGCCGGTAGGGAAATGTTCAAAAGAGGTTGTGATTAAGGTAACGGTACGTCACTGGTTGATTCCTTGCACTGGGAAATAGAAATTGAATTAGAAACAGATTTAGCCAACTTCCACCGGCTCGACCTCCAACTTGGCAAAACTAAAATTAACGCACGCCATAGCTATTTGGGAGCAAACATGTCGTTTCGTAGTGCAGAGGGGGTCTTTCAGTGGTCTACGGTTTGACCTGAAGGCATACAGATTTGTCGAAGGTTTTCCATTTGAAAAGAGCGACTTCAATAATGTAGCAATCTGAATATTCTATTTTTTACATTTTTAATGTAATCTACGTTTTTCAGATGTGTTATGGACTACGGGTTATATAGTGGTAAGCCACGTTGTGAAACGAATAAGAACGAAAATCTGAGAGTTCCTGATAAGAGCAGTCTGCTTTCGATTTGTGTGAGTTTTCTAATATTCAAGTGAAGTGTACCATTTTGTTTTGGACATTTTATTTCTCAAATATATTGGAATCGCCTAGATTACTTTCCTAAATATAAACTGCAAAAATATGTATCATTTGCCGATTTGTTAACGAGCCATCTAATGACCCCAATTGCTTGTCAGCAGTGAGATAAGGACTAGTCGTAGCTTCCGTGGTTTATACTGGAAGATCCGAGCTTGTAGCGGGGGCGCATATTGAGCAATACTTGTTTATCAGTTGCAATTCGGTCGAACGCTGGCTTCAGGCCCAAGGTAGATCTAATACAGGACTCATGAGTAAGCTGGGAAGCTCTCCTTATGGAGGCACTCATTGGTAGTTTTGACGTTCTCACTGGTTGCTTTCATAGTTCACGATTTGGCCCGCGAGCGAGCAAGCGAGCGATTGGGGCGGCGCTTGGCCCTTGTGAGAGATAGAGTTAAGCGCGAGCAAGCGCCGCCCCAATCGCTCGATCGCTTGCTCGCTTGCTCGCTCGTGGACCAAATCGTGGACTATGAAAGCAGCCACTTGATGTATTTGAATTACCTGAGAATCCCAGTTCAGCTACAAAGGACTACTTAAGATACTCATCTTACTGTATGTAGCCGACACCGGGTACCGTGGTTTTCACAACTTAATTTTATGTTCCTTTCACAAATATAGAATTGGCGTTGTTACTAGAAGAGCCATTCGTTAGTGAGAGGTAAGTTTAGGCCAGACGAACCTTTCATAACCTCGATTGATTAATGCCTCAGTTACTACGAGTGAAGAAAACCTTACTGTAGACATCAATTAATTATTTTCATTTTTATCTGCGTGAGTAGCACATCGAGCAACCAATGTCGCGCTTTTCCTTCTCTACTTTTTACGTACTAGTTACTTTATGACTTTTCACTTCACTGTTTCACTGTTTACAAGCATTGTAATGTGCAGCCGAAACAAGTTGATGGCTAGTGTTTCATGCCCGTCTCGAAAAAGCGAAACTTTTGCTATCCCTTTCCGAATCTGTTATTTTCTATTTGTTGTTTATTTTTTAATGACTGACTGATGGCAACAATTGAGGGTGGTTCATCATGGTAGATCAAATCTAGCGCTAAATCACGATTTTGGGGCTCTGAATGATGATGATGGTAATGATGACGATGGTGATGATGATTTTTTTTTTTGAATCAAAGAAGACCTGTAGAAGTTGTGAGAGAACTTTGTAACGGAGCCTCTCTTCGAACGAAATTCAGCCTGCTTTTGATTAGGTTCCTTCTTAGGACAAAATGACGCATTCTCTGTTGTTCACTGACTAGTGGTCTTTGATTTCTTGATGTGAACTTTGAGATGGAAGCTTTGGCACCTACACCTATTTGGACTAGGACCTTCGGAATCTAGTTCCCCACCTACATGAGTCATTGACTCACATTATCCCTTTCTATTTACGAAGTAGTGAGCAAATGTTGGTTAGAAACTTGGAAAACGCCAAGAGTAAACCAGCTGAGTTGGTCCCTTCAATCGGCAGTCCACGAGGGAACAGGAATGCGTCAAGTTCATGGAACATGGGCAGTTGCAAGGGGGCCAGTTGGATCGGCAGGGTCAGGAACCTCGCTGCACTTCAACCTTTTATATTAATCTATATGCTATATTAAGTGACAGTTAATATAGCATATTTTTTTATCTAAAATGATAAAAAAAATATGCTATATTAACTGTCAGTTAATGTGTGGTCCTCGGTGTTATTATACGCAGTACTGGTAAAGAACAAAATCATTTCTCAGAGTTCATTCTAATGGATAGTTAGCTTTAATATGATAGAAAGACCTAATTGGGATCAGTAAATGGTAGCTTTTGGAACTAGAAGACATAAGATTTTTTTTAACTACTCACTAGCATGAACACCTTTTTTTTTAATAACAAGCCTGTTTGATCAGGAGATCAAATCATCATCAGTCAATCGGAGATCATCAAGAAGATCGTCCTGGGCCGGTTCATCTGCGCCACATGGGTTGCAAGGCTTTGTCAAGTCCCCTTGCAACTGCCCAACAGCCCATGAATTTGAAACTACCTCTGTAGAAAAGGTTTCCAGAGGAATTATTGAGGTGCTACTAGCCAAGTCGTCAGAAAAGCAAATGAAGCAACAAACTGACAATGAGAGCTTTTCTCAAAGCTTCTTCAGGCGGTGATGACGTGCATTGTTTCTCGGAGGCTATTTTTAGAGAGAAAATATAAACTTCCGGGTAGATTGAAGTTTTCCAGTGAAGAACATCTCTCAAAACTAATTTTCATCGAAAATTCTCGGTGGAGTAATTCCTTGTTCTGATATAGTTAGTGAAAGTTTATTGTGAATGGCCGGGGTTGATTGTTTCCTTTCGTATATTTGTGTCCCATTTTGGTCGGCAGGTATTCTTAGTGTGCTATTATTTATTTATTTATATTATTGTCTAAAAACATGCGCTCAAGCCGGAATTAAAGAGATTGTTTGTATTGTTCAGAGTGAAATTCGGGTGGTCGGTTCAGTCACATTCCAGTACTTTTGACATTCAATCAGTTCGCTAACCGTTGAAAGGACGGAAGGCTCTTCTGAATGTGGCGAAAGCGGATCCTTGGGCATCACCTGCTGCTTATCTCCTTTCTTCTTGGTTGAACAAAATACATTTCGACTTTTTAGGTCCCTTTGGGCTCTAAAACCAGGATAACAAGAGTTAGTGTCTCATTAAATTACTATTGTGTCCCCATTTCAATAGGAAGGAGAGAGAAGTGAATGAAGAGAATAGGCATGGTAGGCAGAGCTTAAAATGTTGCTTGCCTTGGCTGTGGAGGGATGTACTTTTTGTTTACTTGAATCTGAAGCAATTTTGTCTTGGCTTGATGTTTTGCCTGCTGGTGGTGCGTCGCAGCCGAGAAGCCGAGGACATCGGGCCTTCATAGTGCAAAGGTAAAGAGCATGGTGTCTGGAAAGCACAAGTACGGGCTCGAGTCCCGTCTGAGGCCGAAGTTTTCCCCGTAGCTCGCCACCTAAGTGTGGCATTGTTGTTCAGTCAATTAGTCTGGCAATTACGGCTTTCGATTGAGGAAGGAATGTGACAAGCTTGTGTTTAAGCTAACCGTTGAAAGCATTCAAACAAAGGTGATGGTCCGTTTCGCATTATTCAGTTCATCTAATGTCT